AACAGTAATTCAAATTTTCTACACCTATGTTTTAGTTGAATATTTGCTCTTAACTTGTGTTCTAGGTGGTGTCATCCTTCAGATGAGATATTAAACTGAAGTCCTAAACACTTACTACTTCAGCTTTGAAATAATTGATATGTTATATCAGAACCACATATGCTCATCAGGGCCAGATCTTATCCCTTTCAGAGGACAAGACAGCATGTCTCCCCCCACCCCCAGACAGGGCCCCAATCCGTGGCAGGTATTACCACCAGCAATGTTGGTACCACCATTTGTACTGTTGGGACTGGAGGCATCAGGGTAAACTATCATATTTTAAACTGAACAACCGGGACCACAGTGGGGACTTGAACCAGCAACCCACCATGTTTATACAGTAGATAGTTGATAAAATATAGTTTATATTGTTTTATACTGTACTCATCTTTCTAGCATGACTTAATAACCAGACAGGGTAGTCAAACTCTGAACTTATTAATTTTGTCGGAACAGTACATCAGAAGGTCAAACTGTGCCTTTTATGAATGCAGTTTTAGAATCCATAATATGTTAATACAGACACCAAGACCTCTTGTTTCAGAAGAGTAAGACATACTCACCTAGACTTTCAAAAACATAACATGGGTAGGTGGTCATTTTCACCATATTTTATTAAAAACAAACTGAATAAAACATGCATTTTTAAGACTGACAAAATACATTAGAGGAAGTAAACCAAAAGTATGCATTTCAATACAGTACTGTGAAATACTATAAAATATTGAAATACTATGAAATACTGAAATACTATTCCTGAACAATAATAATTCACCCCTCTTTCCTCAGCATTTTTGCAATGAAAACATTTACATAAAACCAAACCTATACTTAGTCACAGATAAGCATTGAACTCATTGGAAACTCATAAGGAAGGGAAACTATTATGAATTTTGAGCATACTGTGTAATAGCAAAACCTTTTTTTTTTATTTTTCACGAAACAGTGGAACACTTTCCTAAAACACAAGTGAAAGAAATGACAATATCTTGGCTTACATCCTCACAGATTTATTTCTAGTGTTACAAGTTAAGTATATCCCCTTGGCTGTTATTAGTAGTACAATAAAACTACATAAACTTACTGTTTTTTCATATGTGAATTTGATTGTAATATATGCCTTCTATATATCTAATACATAATCCAATATATACACTATATATTTAGAAAATATTAAGTTTGATTTAAAAGCAAGTAGTTTAGAGTAGATCATTAACTACTGACAATTTCAGGAGATTTGTCTTCCTAAATTCCTAAAGTGAATTCATTTTCACTTAAATTCCCTACAATTTGTTAAGTAAAAATGTCAATACTTACTGTATGTCATCTAACTGAGTAAAATTAATGTAAATGTAATTTCCTCAATAAAGAACTGTGAAGAAGAATGGACATATCTGATTTCTATTACAATTAGACCTTTTGCTGTATTGAAATATTTACTGGTAGTACTTTACATAATCATAACTATTAATAAGTACTTCATACTGTATCTTGATGTAATACATTTCACAAAAAGTGAAAAAGCAATCAAATTAAAACAATATTTGAAAAAATTAATGGTATTGAATAATTCAATAAAATGATAACATCTGAAAAAATAAATTGTATTGAATAATCCAATTAATTTTAATCTCTATGTATCAGCTACATTGGCCTTAAATATTCAAATACATTTTGATTAATTCAAATTGGGCATGATTTGAGGTACATTATAAAATGAAATAAGAAGCTTTAATGTCTTAGGAAAAAAATTCTATGATATATGCAGACTTACTCAGCATGTTTAAAAGTGTAAACAAATCAGTTTAATATAACTAAACATCCACTTTCAACACAATTCAATCTTATTAATACAGAATCTGAATGTGAATAATCTGTAATAGAGGCTTATGTTACAATACGATTCAGAATGTAGAGTTGAGGTAAAAGTAGAATAAATTAAAAAACCAACATACAGTAATATTACTGTAGGTAATGAATAACAATATAAAGTACCACACTGTTCAGTGATGTTATAAAAATAGTGAAAAATAGTGAATAGTATTTTTTAAAGAAAATAATTATTAACTTAGATTTAACTGACAAAGCACTTTTTTGGAAAGTGCTAAAATTTCTCATGCGTAGCTTTTGCTTTATTTCATGCACTCCTAAATTAAACTCACAAAAATTAGCTTTAAATAAATTTCAGCTTTTAGTGAGCATATGCATTTTAAACTACTGATTACTGCAAAATAGCAATGGGTACCATTCACTGCATTGTTAACAGTTCATTCTAATTTTGTCCGTACTAGTATCTTTTTCTCCAGTTGTAAACGCCATTTGGTAGCATTAAGCAATATTTGTTCCTAAATATCTTGTTATAATGTTAACTAACAAGGTTTTTAAAATATATTTTTAGGATTTGTTTGTTGCCAGGTTGAACCTTTATCGCTCTACATAGTTACACATAATTCCTGTCGGAACTGGAATCTTCTGTGAATCAATTTTTTGGAGAGCAAGGTTAAACTATCTGTAGACTTCAACAAAATCACATGGTGATGTGAAAGTATCAGGTCATATGTATGTGAGACATTAACAGTAAATAGTCACATACAGCTAGTTCTCGATTTATTCACCCTTAATTTGTGTATTTTTGGTTTAAAGCATAATTTCATCTTCTTGTTTATTCAGGACAAGTTAGTTAGCATATTAATACTAAAACACAGCTCGTGTTTTACTGTTTACTGGCATGGTCAGTAACAGGGACTTGACAGAGTGTTTGAGATATTATTTGTGCGCATCAGTTGTGCATAGGAATGAATCATACTGGTGACACAGGCAACTGGGCAATCTTCGTCTAAGTGTTCTTCCTACACTGTTCATCACTCTTCATCTCACACTTACTACATAATTCTATGATACAGTATATCTTTAGTGTCTTGGTCTGTACCTTATGATTCTATTGTATAAAATCTACAATAAAATTAACACAGCTTTAAAACAATGTAAGCTACTATGTGTGAACAAAACAATTTAATGCAAAGAATAAGTAAAAAGACTCATTAAAGTCATTTAAAAAATGAAACCATTAATACTCTTCTACAAAGCTAAATAAGGATCATGATTTTCAATATTACCAGACTTTTAAATACATTATCATTTAAAACTCACCAAGAATAAAAGGACCTAAATAGAAGCTTTTAGTTTTAAATTTATGTATTTTGATTCATGCATCATTTTTAGGAACACATTTACTACTGTACTACTGTACCTGTACTGCCATTCGATAACACTTTAAAATCTAAAAGAATACTGGTCAACCCCTTTGATCTGACTAAAGAAATGTATCTTTGTTTCTTTAAACTTACAGTATGACACTACAGTATGCAGGGATAATCACTGTCTGGATTTACTGAAATCCAATCAGCATTCTTCAAGTCAATATTTTAGGAAAAAATAAACAAATCAACAATTAATCATTTATCATTCAACTATATAATATATAATTATATATTGTATTCAATATATACTTTAAGAACAAATAATCATTTAGGAATAAATTAAGGAATACCATGTGTTGAAGATGGAGATTTTCTCTCCACATACTGTAACAATAACAACAATGAATGAAGAAATACTAGTTTTTGAAGTGGAAGAGAACATTTTCATTCAATAACAATTTAAAGCAAACGAATAAAGCAGGGACAATAAAAGTAGGGTAATGCTCACAAAACAAAAAAAAAACCAAGGGCTGGATTCGAATCTGTTTTCATGTGTCTACAAACTGCTCGAATCTACGCTTAAATAACTAGTAATGTATCATAACAAGTACAGTGCACGGCAGGTAAATAGGAGATGTCTAACTTGTCTCACTAAGATGTTTCATTTAAAGAAGTAAACTTTGAAAGAATGTTAACCTGAAATTGTTTCATTACGCTAAACTGTACAGATTGTTGACGTCTCTTGCTTGACTAAACATACAGGCTTGCCTTTTACAGTACAAGATTTCAGTTAAGAATTTGCAAGCACAGAAACAGTCATCTGCTATAAACTCAAGTGCACAAGTTATCAAATTTATATTTTCAGTCTTAATGTTTCATAAATAAAAACATTTTAAATATTCTTTATTATATCTGTATTTCTTCCTGCAATGTTTCTTCCTACAAAGGTGGCTACACAACATTAAAAATAAAGAGGCATTAAAACATTTGAATTGTCAAACGAGAAAAATACACCACATAAGAGAACAGAGTAACAAGAGAGAGATTTTCCCTTTATGAACCAGTCATTACGTTACATTGAAATAACTAAACGTACCTGTATGAAAAGCATTTTAGAAATTAATTAGGAATCTAATTCCTGCTTTCCAAAAATACCAAAACAGAGATTTCTTATGGCACATTAACAAAGAACATCTATCATTCATGGTGGAGCTGTATGCAGGAATTGCTGATTCCATCTTGTTCCGTCAGTTTAAATCCTGTTCTCATCTTAAAGGTGTCAAACAAGTTCGTACCTCAAGACAGAGACTGTAATTGAAGGCTATTGTAAGAAACAGGAATTAGGCAGAGATCGGGAAGCCCCTACTTGATATTCTTCAGCAGTGAGGTACGGGCATTAACCACAGCCTTGAATGCATCCTCACTCCCTGGCGCCACACATTTGTCAGGATGCAGCAGCACAGCGAGCTTCCTGTATGCTTTATTAACCTCCTCCCTAAAAAACAAACAGGACCCAGGCTTTCAGCGTTAAGAAAATATAACCCCATAAAGTACAGACACCAACAATTCACATTTTGGTCCTGGACATAAAGCACGCTCATGATGCACAAGCTTTGAAAGGTAATGTGGTCCAGTACTAAATAGAATGAAATATCACTGGTATTTCACTATATTGTACTTAGCTACTAATAAGACTTCACTGCTTCTCATTTTGCACTGCCCTTATTTGTAAATCAGGATAGGACACAAACAATTAAAAGGACCAACATATCGAGTAATTTCAAAGAAATTAATACTTAAACACAATCATTATCATCACATGCACCTGCAATAATCTGCTGCTCAAAGACATTGACCACAGAGTATTTCTGCAATGTGCAGCATGTGACAGTGCCCTGCATTGTATGTACAGTATTTGTGGCGTATCAGCATTTTGATGGGTGGATGGGCTGGGGCTCTCAGTGGAATAAAGAGAGCTAAGTCTGGGCTTGCAGCCAGGGATTTGCAGAGCAGAATTTTGCCTATGACCAGCACCTGCCCTCCTGCAGGATCTTGCAGACAGACTGAAACTAGAGTCTCCCGTAATGGCTGATTTACTGTAATTAGTTCCTGTGTTTTTGTATGTATCCCCTCCTGTGTCCCTGAAATTTGGACCTGCTTAAGAAGAGGGTTTAGCCCCACAACTGGGTTCCAGAGCTAGTAATGGAACTGCAATGAGTCTGAGGATAAATGCCTGGACTCATTGCATTTATAAATATTATTTTTTAATACTAACTATTCACCTTCAATTTCAAAAATTGATTTTATTTCAAAATTGATTTCCTTTTGGTCCTAGCTAGTTAATACTACTGTATATAAGAGCTACACTTGCTTTTCATGAAAGGCTAATTTTGACTTTTCAATAAATACGATTTTCTAAGTATTTTTAAATCGATTTCAATTTTGTTAAAAAAAAAAATCAGTTAAAGGAGTTGTGTCAAACCCCCTCCAAGGTGAACATGCCTACAGACTCATGTCAGTAAGCAGAATTAACCTTCTTTATTCTGAATACATAAGCACTATACAGCACGCTCTAAGGGGGAGACATGCAAAGTAGATTTTCTTCAGTGACTCTGATGAAGCTGTTCCTTAGTCTCACAGATGTTGTGATAACAGATCATGTATTACTGCAGCAAAAAAACTGTTGTAAATTGACACCAGTGATTACCCAGAGGCCCATAAGGTAATGGGATTCTTGTCCTCAAATCACTTAACTCACAAACACGATTAACTGCGTGTCCCAGGAAAATCTTTATGGCACAGGATAGTATTGGAACCTTGTTTTGGTTACCTAACCAGACTGCATTTATATTGATAAAAAAGGATAAGCATATAGTATAGCCAAAAGAGATCACAAGGCTGTACAAGAAGAAGAGCTTCATTGCACAGCTGTGACAACCTCAGCCCTGCTTTCATTTTGGCTTGGAGCACTTCCAAACAGTGAGGCTAAATGACCGTCTATCCACTTGTGCAATGCCTGTGTAATTATTAACATGAAAGGATTTGTTTGGGATGGAGCACAATTTCATCATCTCCAGTAGTCCTGTTCATGCTAAAAACAAACAATTTTAAAATACTAGTTTTTGTTTAAGCATGATTCAGAAATTGCACCACCTCCTCAATATCGGTTACAACGTTAGTTTGAAAATAAACTGGTAAAGAAGAGCCGCATTTATAAAGAATATCTTATTATTATAATCATCCAGGTGCCTGCTACACATTGGAGGTGCAGGAGGGGATCCCCATTACCTGTGAAGCACTATATTATTATTATTAACTTTGGATTACAGGACATTTAGGGGACAAAAATGTTTTCCCATATACTGACATAGCCTGACTGAGCTCTTACACAGCTGAGACACCCAAGTAGCATGTCTATGCTACCATGTACATTTCTGTTCAATAAACAGCATTGGCTGTTTTTAAATAGAGCAGGTTAGTAATAACAAGAAAAGGAAAGTAAAAAACGAGAAGGTAGAGATTTAAGAAATGTCACACTGTCTTGTTTTACAAACAGTTCATATTCAATTCATATGATATAACTTTGTACCTACGTAGGTGCTCTCTCTTACCGTGTGGCCCCTGGCTTGACACCCAACATGTCCCAGCTGTCCTTACTGCTGCGAATTCTGCGAATGGTGTCAGCTTGCTCCCGGGTGAACCCCACGTTGACCCCAGATACTGGTCGCCGGCCCCCATTTTCACACATGTCCACGATTGAGGAAAAAAAAGCCTGGGGAAAAAGACACTATTGACGAGACAGATATGCAGCTGCTCATTTCAAAATTGAGACTACAGTGCCTTTTAACCTGCAATTTAATCATTAAAGCTGTAGAATTTTAGAATTAACGTTATTTTTAGGTGAGGGACAAGCAAGAAAAAGGATCTGTTTAGAAATGCTGTCTCTTTTATTCTCAGAGCCAAGGACTGATCCAACTATGAACTGTCAACAAAAGATGGTGACAAAAGATTGCAGAAAAGATCCGTGAAGTGACAGATTAGGGGAGGTAAGGAAATACAGAGCTCAGTACTGGGAGGCAGCATGGCCCAAACAATCAATGAACTGCAGCACATGTGAGAGTGTTAAATTACCAAAAGAGAAGGCTGGGGAGGCTATTGACACAGGTGGAATTTATCCATACCTGGAACATCTCACTAATTCCCTCTCCACTCTGTGCTGAAGTCTCAAAGTAATGGAAGCCCCGACTCTCTGCCCACAATCGTCCTTCACTCTCATCCACCACACGGCGCTTCGTCAGGTCAACCTGAAACACAGCAAAACTGTAAGTGACATGAGGATATGAGTGGAGTTCAGACTGAGACAAAGACAAACAATCCCTTTTCTTTAAAGAAACTCTTAAAACAACTCGGTGTCTTTTACCAATTTTTTTTCATTCAACACAGTTAAATCAATAGTACCTGCACTGGTAAGCAAACCTAAAATTCTGCAACAATTAAAAAAAACAGCATAAAAAGTTTCAAACAAAATTCACAGTAAGTAAATATCAATATTTCCTGAAAATATTTCAAACATACAGTATCAAAACAAGTTTTCCTTTGAAGACTGTACTTTATCTAATCTTGTAATCCAGAGTTTTAAAAAAATATATATAAAAACTGTGGCCAAAAGTCCACAATTGTCTTTTGTTTTTACAAGGGAACTCACGCCCAGTAGAAATTACTCTAATATTCAGAAAATATTAATTATGAAATACAATTTGGATTTTACAAGTTCTTATGCTGAGAAGCTATTTTGTTAAGATAATGCAATACAGGAAAGAGGATATTATTGTACATGAATCACAACACACCTTGTTGGCACACACAACAAAAACAATGTTCTCCATATTGGCGTGTGAACCTAGCTCCTGCTTCATCTCACCCAACCAACTGTCCAGGGAATCAAAACTTTCTTTTGAGCCCACATCATAAACCAGGATCACCCCTTGAGAGTCCTTATAGAACTCGTTCCGCACCTGAGGACAAAGAACAGCAGGAAGCAGAAATCACTGATTTTCATGGGCAAAGATTACGAGTTAGAAAAATGTAAAAAATAGTTTAATTCACTGTTTACTGTGTACTTGTTTTTACACACTATATAGTCTCTGTTGCCTTCATTGTTCTTTACTTTTTAAAATAAACCCTTTATCAACTTTTAACTATACGTTATCTTATGACTATGGTCTGTTTTCTACATGATAATACTGTAATAGTGAAGTATACACATCATTCATCTTTACAACTAATTTTAACTTACTGTAGGTGAAACCTGTGATTTATTTAAAATGTGTTGCTGCTCTCAAAACTGGTAGGTGCTGCAGATCATCTGAAATCTGCTAGACATATTTCATTGTTTTTAAAATAAAATTCTGACAGGATCATATTATACAGATTACATTAAATAAATTTGTAAATTTATTCAGTACTTGGAAATAGTAACGATTGACTTAAACGCATTGATTGTAATTACTAGTCATGAAAAATGTATAGTAAACTAATTTTAACAGGTTCTATAATGTCTGCCTGCAACATGACTCAAGTTCTACTCTGTATGAAATATTTAACGTCATTATTGTACCACTATCATTAAAAACGTCCTTGTGGAGAAGACATTGCTTGCAACCTACTTTACAGTTTTTATAAATCATGTTGAGGTCATTCATTAAGCAGAGAATGGAAGAGAAGTGAACTGACAGCACCTCAAATTAATTAAGTCTGGAACTAACTGTCATTGGAATAAATGAAACAATGTTCATTCATTGAAACAATGAATAATACATTTGAGGGAACAAAGTAGAGATGCTAAGCTTTTTGACCAGCCAAAGCAGTTGCGATTGTAAGTGAAAGTCAGACAAAACAAAAAAAAATTCAGACAAAACATTGAATAATCTGACTTGAGAATAATTTATGATTAAAAAGCTGTTTCTTATACTCCCCTTTAAAAGCTTTGCTGCATTTTATTATAATTTTGTATTTAGCAGTTTATACTGTATATTTCGACTGATTGAAAAACAGAACACAGCTCACCTCATAAAAGAAAGGGTGTCCTGCCATATCAAAAATGTTCACTTTGATTTCTCTCTCTCGCACTTGGACCCTAATCAATTAGAAGAAAAAGACCATTCCTCATAAATTGGACAACCACACCTTTATGGCACCTATCCCATTCCACTCAGTGTTAAAAGGGAATTGGACATATAAAAGTTCAGTCTTAAGAATGAACTATATTTATGCATTTAAAATACAGTTTAATCCATCGGATGAATGAATATCCATAATATGGAGATCATAACCCATCTTTTTTCTGACCACTTCATTCAATTCAGGGTGCTGGAAGCCAATTAACCTACCAGTATGTCTTTGGACCTTGAGAGGAAACTGGAGCAATCCGAAAAAACATCAACATGGGGAGAACGTACAAACTCAATTCAGATAGCAACCCAGGTTCAGAACTGGACCCAGGGCCCCCAGTGCTGAGAGGCTGCACTGTAAACCACCGTGCCACCAAGCTGCGCATGTATAGGTCATGGGTTTGAGATTTGGTGTACTCAGAACTTGTAAATTTCACATATACCATACCAAGTCAATCATTTCTTGATTGCCAGAGCCCTCCAGACTTTATAAGCATTTCTTAATTAGCAATTGTTTAAAAGCTACAAAATGCGATTTGACTTCTCATACAATTGATTTGTTAAATTGCTCAATTAAGATCAGAAAGGCAATGGACGGCCTTCAAGGAGTAGAGTTGCCTGTCCCTGGACTAAACATTTAGCTCAAACATAAATGACCTCTGAAAGTGAAATAACTCAATTTCAGTTAACTTACTTCGTTACACCATAGTCAATTCCAATTGTAGCAAGATACTTGGGGACAAACCTCTTCTCACAGTAGCGCTTAATAATGCAGCTCTGAAAAACAGAATATACAGTTGGTGTTTGGATGTGACTGGGTTAAACCTAAATGTTTATATTTTTATTAGTGTTCCAGAAACAATTTCAGTTGAACTGCTTACATTCAAAAACACAATCTGCTGTATGGATCCACACTAATTTCAGACATTCACACACTCACAGAGGAATCAGTAATTGGTTACTGATCCATCCATCTATTTTCTAAGCGCTTTATACAGTACCCAGTTGTTGCACGGGACCTGAAGTCTAACTTGGCAAGCAACAGGGGTGAGGATATACCGGGGATGGAACGCCAGTCTAACGCAGAGAAGACACAGACAACATGCACACACTCACATTAGGGCCAATTTTCACAGGAGCCAATTAACCTCCCAATATAATTGGTATTCATTTCAGATTTAATTATTTATTCGTACTGGAATACTCCACAGTCCTCCCATAAGTAGGACATAAATATTTCCACAACTATAAGTCAATTGTTCCTTAACTAAAACCTGGAATCAGCATTTTTGTGGCCCAAATTACATGACTGTTTTCTGTAGACTTTGTTCTGCCAAAAGTATTAACAATTAACAAAATCAATAAAATACTCCACCGTACTGTAGATTCCCTGGATATAAAACCCTGAATCTCACTGCCAGGCCAGCTCCTCTTCTACCCCATATTTCTATCAATTGCAGATTTCAGGTTTTACTTACTTAAGCATTAAGATATTCCCTAATTTGACCAGAAAATTATTTCATGAAGAAAATATGTCAGAGGCCTTGAACAAAATTAAATTACATTTAACTACCCAATCTTCCTTACATTTCTTGGTAGAAGAAAATGTTCTTGCATTAATTATTATTTTCTATTATTCCTATTTAACTCTCACCACAAAATCTCCAACAAATTACATTATAACTACTTTCATTTGGTGGGATAACTAGACAGGAGTTCTCTACTATACACTTTTCAGATGAAGGTGTTTAAGATATACTGTAGTTAGATTCCTGGATTCATGAGCTTAATGATGACTAATGAGTAAGCTTTAATTAAGCCAACTAGACGTAAGGATCTTTTATTTTGTGCTTACTGAGGCAGGACTGTCTCCAATTATTGCTAACTCGCTAGGTGTTTGGAAGAAAATCACTTTCTTTGTAGACCACCAAAGGTTCATAAACTTTCACTGATTTGGAAAACGTTAATCTCCTTAGTGGGTTCTCACCTTTAACTACCCTTCCTGGTCTTGAACTAACATTCACACTGTCTGTAACTTCTTTCATAACAATGGTCTGTATATATCTCAGGATCGGAAATCTGCTCCCTCCTGGGTTTTCCTATTTCATGTATCTTGACTCTGCTCAGGTAAGTGGGGTAATGGCAAATCCAACAAAGCATTTAATTGACACTGCAAAATGTGGTTTAGAGATTAAACAAAACTGAAACAAAGTTTTTTAAAAGTTCAATCTATTTAAGACCTAAAACTGGGATATGTAGCCCAAAGTAAAAGACCAAAGCTACTGTACATTGGAGGACATAACATGAAGAAAGTGAATGTCCTTGAATGAACCAGTCAAAGTGCTGCCTTGAATCTGTGACTTGTTGCACATTAACAATCTCTAACTAAAATGACAAAGAAGGGGTGCCCATCACCTTCAGAAGAGAGAACACCACCACAATACAAAACAGTAATACCTATCCAACAAAACTACAAAATGAACTCTGCGGTATTTATATAAAATATGTTATCTACAACACACAAAATAACAATTCATACTACGTTGCCTTTCTATGTACAGGACCTGCCCAAATGTTAAGAACTACGAAAATTTAAAAAAAAATCAGAATAGCAAAGATAAACTGCATCGCATGACTTTGGCTCAAAGATAACTGTGTTGAATTTAAATCAAACTAAACATACAGGCATGCACACCTTCTACAGTACATAAAGACTTCCAATGCCAGCTGAGGCCTTTAATTGATCTGCTTGATTGTTTGGATTTCTGGATTACTTGTTTCTGAACTCAGTCCTTGGATTCCATAAAATACCCCACTTCCAGAGTACTGTTCCCAGCAGCTTGTTATTATTTTATGTCTAAACAGCTCTTAATAGGTGATAAGTTTCTGATGAAAAGACACTAGCTGCATTTACACTATGTCAATCTTTCAAGCATCCTCCCCTCCTTCTGCAAACGGTCCTTTCCTTGCATTTAATGCAGAAAACTTAAATGAGGCCAGTTCTGAAACCCATCAATTGGTACAGGATTGATATCAATTTCAAATCCCATTAAACTTTTCAAGAGTGGAATTTTCAATTAAAATGTGCCCTAAATGGAAAACTGCGACCCTTTACCCTGTGATCATGGCTGTAGCCAACATCAGAAGCCCCCAAGGACTAGTTAGCTAGAATTAGGAACCACTCTAGCTAAACGTCCCCTTTACAAATCATCGAAGGCCTCTATAGTTTGAGAATTCGTGATTTATTGTGGATTTCCAGACTACTCACCTTTCCCACCTCCGCATTGCCTAGACTGATCACTTTTACGCGTAGAGACTTTTTATTCTCACGTCTTTTCTGCAAATTCGTCTCCATGGCTCCGGTTTATTACCTCGTTGCTTAAAATAAAAACATCCACCGATTTAAATTTAACAGATTATGGTTTTTTTTCGAATTCAGGATAAAATTTCGGTACACTTCTACGCGAACCGCAGCCAATACATTGCAACAATCTGATCGAAATTTACTGAGCTGCTTTTACTGAACCTCAGAATAGATCAATACGGAAGGTGATTAAAAAATGAAGGTGCAACTACCAGTCTTACCAGTAGTTAATAAAGACAATAGCCTTAATGAATCCATTCATTTCGACTTTATATACTTTAAATAATTACATTAAATTCCTCGTATACTGCACTATCATACTAAACCGTTAAAAGCCGAAAAGCTAATTTGCAGTTAGAAAATCATTTGCGTATTTTTGTTACCTGTAAACATGTCTGCTTGTATATCTACGTAAAATTAATACTTTTATAAAGTGATACTGTAACTATCGAATCTGTCATTTAAATGCTCTTCTTGTGATCCGCAAATGAAAAAGTCCGTTCTATCCATATTATTCCTATCAAAATCCTATTTGTTTTTTTCTCTCTGCCTTTTCCTGTATGTGACCCATCAAATTTCTGATTCCAGTCAGCAGATTCAACATAAACACACGTCGGTCAGTACGCCAAAACTATTTTAAAATTATTAAAAACAAGAGATTTGTATTATATGACAAAGCTTATTTAGTGATTTCTATTAAGATTGTTGGTAAGTTTTTAATTATTTTAATATATTATAAAAGGCGTGAGTTTCTATGGTAACAGCAAACGCATCTGTCATTTTAAAAATGAGAATTGCAGTTTCGTTGTGTCAAATAAATGGAAAGCTTCTGAGACATTCGACGACCTGAATATTTTCATTGTAATATGAGTTCACTTATTAAAATCTTGTGAATTCAATGGAGGAGCAATTCACAAATGCATTTATAGATTCAATTGTTTCATTACATCAGGTCCCAATTCAGCAACACAAAATCTCATTAAACTCATTGTCACATTATTTTTAACTCATTAGGGTCGTCTTTGTCACAGTATTATTTTTATTCAATTCTCAACTATTAGCAACTTTGTTCATATCCACATTTAAAAGTCACTTTTATAAAGCGATGAGGTAATATCAAGACATCTCAAAGCACTTAACCATCAAGAGTACACAGAAACAACATACAGGTACAGTGACACATGATGACTAAGATAAACAAAGTATAATTTCACATACGGTTCCTGTTTATACAAAATCAGGGTCTTCAAGCTTTACAAAATTTATTTTGAAATGTCTTTTTAAAACATGCGGACTGGAAGACTTGTGCAGTCTCCTGTAGAGCACACAATTTAGACCCATAAAAATAAAATAATTCCTAGAATGTATACTGTATAGCACTTGTCATTTCAAAGGATTCTAAAGAAGTTCACATAAAAGGGAATTCATTTCATCCAGCACTGAAGTGCAGCACCCACCTGAGAGACAAGATTGCCTCAGCAGGATGTGAGTGATGAGGAGCATCTGGAACCGAGTGACGATTGAGCAAAGTACAGGCAGAACCTAGATGAAATCATTTGAGTCACCCAAAAATCTAAAAATCCATCTATCCATTCTCTAACAGTTTTATACAATACAGGATTTGTTGGGACGCTGGAGTCTATCCTGGCAAGCAACAGGCACAAGGCAATGATGCACCCCGTATATGAGATAAAACACAGACACACTCACACCAGGGCCAATTTTCACAGAAGCAATTTACTAACCAGCAATTTTTGGACTGTAGGAAGAAACAGGAGCATCCAGAGGAAACCTACATGAACACAGGGATAACATACAAACTCCAAACATACATAATCCCAGGTCTGAAACTGAAGTCAGGGCCACAGCACTGTGAGGCAGCAATGCTAACTACTGCCCCACAGTGTCGCCTGAATCTAAGATTTGGTGAACAATTTAAACTGTAGCAAGACACTGAATACTGAACCACAAGCCCAAAGCCACACTGGAGTGAGTTTCCAAGAAGATATTGATGTCCTTGAGTGGCCCAGTCCAAACCCTGACTTCAATACAATAGAAAATCTATGATGTGACTTGAAGATTACAGTCCATCAATAATCCCCCAAAAATCTGATTCGTCCTATTGTCCAAAACTAGGGGAGACCTCCAAAAATACCGACAACAGTAACTCCACCAAGTACTAACGTTGGGAACTGAATACTCATGCAATCGGTAAATTTCACTTTTTATACATTTTTATGTGGTATTGCACAACATTTCATTTAGCCTCCTTTAAGAGGAGGAAAGGACATGTTTACATCCTTATAGATCTGAACAAAATCAATTTTGAAATAAAATTGAAAAAATTACATATATTACATGGAATTAATCAAAATGTGCTATTATTGATGAGGGGTGAATACTATTCAAAGGCATGGTACTGTATATGTCTTCTTTCATATTAAATAAGAACAATTGTTGTTTGTCACTGTTTTGATGTAACAACAGAAATATTGGAAATTGCATCTGCTGTGTTAGGTGTGATCAGATCTTTTTCAGTCACTCTGAAGGAGGTGTTGTTGGCATCATGCTCAACACATACGCTGATGTGAAAAAGAATGTATACCCTCTTATGATTCTATTCTAGTCCTCACCAAGTCCTAACAGTAGATAAATCTAACCCTATGTGACAAATAATACACACAAGTTGTACTTTGTCAATGTTGAACAAACAAATTGGCCAAGATTCAGTAGTACTGTGTGAAAAAGTAAGTGCTCCCCAAGATTTGGTAACACTTGGAACCTCCTTCAGCAGCAATAATTTCAAGTAAACATTTTCTGCAAGAGTTTACCAGTCTGTCACATCGCCTGGCCCACTCTTCCTTACAAAACTGCTTCATTTCAGTGATGTTGAGGGTATTCGTTTATGTGCAGTCCCAACAAAGCATCTCAACGGGGTTGAGATCTGTACTTTGATTTGGCCATTCCAAAATCCTGATTATTTTATTTTTCAGACATCATTTTAAGATGTACTGGTATATTTTGGAACATTATCCTGTTGCACTATTCACTTTCGGCTAAGCTTTAGCCATTGAACAGACGGTCTCACATTTTCCTCTAGAATATGCTGGAACTATATACAGATACATTCATGGTGGACTCTATGATTATGTAAAGCAGGACCAAATCATCACCACTCCACCACCACACTTGAAAGTTGGTATGAGGTTCTTGTGGTGATATGAAGTGTTCAGTTTTTGCCAAAAATGTAATTCTGCATTTAAGCCAAATAACTCCTCTTTGGTCTCATCTGTTCCAGAAGTCCTGCAGTTCATTCAGGTGCAATTTTGTGAACCTAAGCTATTCTTTTGAACATTCAAAGGGAGAGAGGGAGCTTTCTCTTGGTTACTTTCCTACAAAAGCCTTTCTTGTTTAGTAATTCCTATTGGTAAAATAATTAACTCTAACATTTACCATATTGACAGAGGCCCGTAGATCCCTGGATGTAGCTCTGGAGTCTTCTCGATCTCTAGGAGAATCAAATGGTCTGATCTCTGGGTGAGGACTCTGGAACACCCACTCCAGCAGATTTACACATGGAGAAAGTTCAAGATGGTGGCCAATGATTTTTCTCACTGTGAAATGATGGACTTCATATTGTTGAAAAAATTGTTAAAAACTCTTCCTAGACTGATGAGCAGCAATATTTTTTTTTTCTCTGAGAATATCTTTTGACCCAGGCATGATGTGTTACCACAAACCCAAATGCTTCAGCCCAAGCTGCCAGTTTCTGATTTTATATACAGGTGGAAAAGCACTTCCTGATTATTAACTAATCATAGGCACTTGTTTAGCAGCACCTGATTCTCATTAGGTCGGAAGCAATAAGGGTGCACTTTTTCACACAAGGTCTCTGAATGTTGGCTGATTTTTTGTTTTAGAAAGATTAACAAAGTAAAATCTCTGTCTGTTATTTAAGATCACTTTATTGCCCTTATACAATTTTTTGTATTAGGAATTTGTCTTTTCGCATACCCCAACTTGCTCTCCATGAGACACATAGACAGGGAGAGAAACTTGGGATCAGACATTTATACGGTGTCCCTGGAGCAGTTGGGGTTAAGGGCCTTGCTTACTGGTCCAATGGAGTAGGATTCCTCTGCCAGTCTAGGGATTTGAACTGGCAACCGTCCAGCCACAGGTGCAGATCCTTTGCCACAGATCCACCGCACCCCCCAAATTCAAATTCATAACATAACATAACATAACATCACTTTATTAGCCCTATACAATTTCTTGCATTAGGAATTCATCTTTTCGCATACCCCAGCTTGCTCTCCATGAGACACAGACACACAGACAGAGAGAGAAGCTTGGGGTCAGAGCGCAGGGTCAGCTGTTGTACAGAACCCCTGGAGCAGTTGGGGTTAAGGGCCTTGCTCAGGGGCCCAACGGAGTAGGATTCCTCTGCCAGCTGCAGGATTTGAACTGGCAACCTTCCAGCCACAGGCACAGATCCATAGCCACAGAACCACCACTACTTGTATGAGGCCCATAAAGTGATCTTATTTGTCACACAAGGTTAGGTTTATCTACTGTTAGGACTTAGTGAGGTCTAGGTGAAGGTAATTACTCAATATGTAAAACCATACAATCTTTCTTTTTCACACCAATATATTATTTGTATTGATTTGCTTATCTGGGCTGACTCATAGAACTTGCAATAATACAATAAGAACAACAGTAATAAAACAATGACACTAAATATTTATTTGTTTCCCCAGGTTCTCTATCTTAGAGGGGGTGGCAGTGTGAGTGGGTGGTTTAAGTGTGTGTCTACAGTACATGTGTATTGGGCGTGTGGTCATCTTCCTGCAGTACTGGACTCTGCAATAAATGAGGTATTGCTCCCCCTTCTGGGCACAGAGGCTCAGTGCTTCTTCCTGAGCAAGAAATTTCAATTTGCTCCTGAAAAATACAGTACACAGAAATCATAAGTGCTTCAGATACTGCCAATTAGCATGTAATTGAAAAAAACAGTCAGTTATAGTTGAGAATACAGAAGATAGGAACATAAAAGTGTCCAATCTGCAAAAAAGCAATGTGTGTATTGTTAAACAAACTGTAAGTATAAAGAGTAGCAAAGAAAACTATGTTCAAGTACAGTTATTTTTAAGTGTATCAACTGGGTACGGAATGCAGTGATATGCCAAAGACAGTGTTTGTAAGAGACAGAGATTTTGTAGTCCTGATATAAGTATGAAAGATACTCCCTGTAAGATGATTTTTGCACAACATTTCAATTAAATGATGATGGTGTCCGTGTACATCTTATTAGGCTCTTACTAAAACAGTAAAGAGTAAACTGTGGTCTTTTTATAGCTCAAAAGTAAAGTTTAAAGTACTTGGTGTAGCATAGGCTATCATGTTTAAATTGAAGTAAATTCTAATTAAATTAAAAGCAAATTGTTTTGTTATAGCTCTATACAGATAAACAAAACAAAAAGATGTATAATCCACAGTTTTATATGTGGAAATTAAGAATTTAAAATTACACTGAAAAGTCCTAACTCAACTGGAATAAGAATTTAATAGTCATTGACAGAATAATAAGAACAAAAAGATACCTGCATGCAGAGCTATGGAAAAAAAATCAGTATTTGAAAAATTGTATGAAAACTACCACAGTAAAGTTAAAGCAGAACATATTCATATTCCTGAGTGATGCCAAGCTGGAAAGGCATAATTTTTGTGTAGGTCTTTGGAGGAATTACAGTTGGAGACTTTGTACCAATTCAATTTTCAGTTCAATTCAAGCTTTATTATCCCCTGGGGAAAAGTGGTTTTATGGCAAAGTCTAACACAATAAAAACAGAAAAACATAAAGCCACAGTGAAAACAGTGCAATAGTGTAACAGGAAATAAATGTTGCTTTAGACTGTTTGAGAACGATATTAAAGTGAGGATGAAAGATTTCCTGAGTCTGTTACTTTTACACCTAGGGACACAGAGGCATGTCCCTAGGTGGGAGTAGTGTAAATTCACAATGGAGGGGGTGAGACACACACTCAGTAATGCTTTTGGCTTCTTTACAACCCTCAAGTTGTAAAGGATATTTAAGTTGAATTGATTTACCCCATTATTTTGCTACTTATTTTCACAAATTTTCCCCACCAGTATAATTAACTGTACTGATACTGTATAATTCTTTAAAAAAAAAACATATTCTTGCATTATTTTGACATGTTCTAAAGTCTAGATGGAATTAAAAAATCTGTTAATCTGGTAACTTTAAACCGTCCAAAATTCAATGATATATTCAACAGGTTAGCTGCAAGACATTTCTGCCCAACAAACCTCAGCCAGCAGGTAAGAGGTTTGCAACATGGGATTGGTCAAAGGGACTAGTGACCTGTCAAAGATATACTGTATCCTGCCTTTCACCTAATTTCTGTCTGGTTAGGCTTTGGATTTGCCATGATCATACATTGGACTACTAAGCAGTTATTGACAGTGGGGCAAAGATTTAATTTAAGTTGTAGCTCTAAACTCAAATGTGGTCAAATGTGCAGTTTTTTTAATATATTTCTTTTGAACTAGGTAAGTCACAAGAGTATCTTTAACCAAGTAATCACTACTCTTAAATATGATCCTTGAGTAACACTAACACACACAGTATGTAAACTTGCAAAGACAAATTCATCTACAACACTAGTTGCTATAACCTTTGATTTTTATATTGTTTTAATTTATGTGGATTTTAATCTTTGTTGTTTTTATGAGTAAAGGAATCTAACAATTTTAAACTAATCTGATTTCATCTGTTCTCTAGCTTGCAGTACTATCTACAGTGCACTAATTTTCATGCTGATATCAACAGCCTGTCTTAAAATGGTTGGTGACCCTATAAACATTTTTAATACTTCCGTTAACACATACACACTCACAAAAACACTATTTCTGAAAATTCTGCTGATGTTCTGATTCTGTGATGTTGCTTTTAATTAATTTTAGTCTTCTTCAACATCGGTGTGTCAAGATAACACACACACCTCGCAGTCCATCTCATCCCGGGATTATTATCTGTTGCTTTACATAACACAGTTCCCAAAATAGAAAAAAATTAAGTGGTCTTGAAGATTTGTGGTAGTCCTGCCAGTGCTTAGATTGCATGTGTAATAAAATAGGAATGTAAATTTACAGTATGTTTTATAACATGCTTATTTCTCTTATTTATGCTTCCAGAATATATTGGGAATGCTGAAGCGTCAGAATTTCAAGGTCACTAGAAATGGAAAGGGTTATAATGGGAAAAATAATCCTGCAGGTACTGCATACAGCAGCACTTGTCACATTATTGTCATGACTCGGATTCCACAGGTTGAAAATCCGGTTGTGGATATAAAAAACAAAGATTTAACTATTTTCTCTGTGTCTGACTTCTTACGTTCACTTTCTTCGCCTGCTTGGACTACCTTGAGGCGTTATTGGCACAAAATGGAAACATCTTAACATACAGCATTGAAAGAAAAAAAACGAACACTCCTGTTTTAATAGCGTTTTATCCGAGACTTATTATCACTTATTATCATTGTAATTTTTGCTGCTATAATTGATGGTGACATTTTCTATATCTTCTTCATCACACATTTTATAATGTTGATTGATCCTGTGACATGCGCTAGCGTGTGTTTAAGTTCCTTACTATTTTCCTACCTTATTTATAGCATTTCGGAGGGGGTGGTACATATCCAGTTAATATCACTAGTATCAGGATACAGTTACCCTATTACAGAGTTCGGGGAGGCGGTGCTGTGGTCCGTCAGACTGTCCGGTAGAAGAAGAAAGCTTTGAGAACCGAGAAATGAAGTGGGAAAAGACAATTATGAAGAAAACAAGTAAACAACTAAAGGAATAATGGATTAACATAGTGAATGATCAATATTCACTGACGACCAGCCCAGGATGAGATAAACTAAGAGGTGTGTTTAATCATCATTCTCCCTCACACATCGCGGTTGTAGAAGGCTGCAGTGCATATAAAAATATTTTAAAATTAATTAAAAGCAACATTTTAAAATACAACGGTCACAACGTCAGCAGGCGCTTGAACAGTAGAGTTGTTTGTGTGTTAGCGTTTTGACATTCTTTTGTTTAAAGTTCTTGAGATTAATAAACGTCTCTAAAGGGTTAAAAGGTTGTTTTATTGTACTGAGCATCATAAAGACAGCGGTTTCCAAACTTTAATGAAAAGGCCTGAAGGATTATGTGTTATTCTGGCAAAATGCAATCTCATACGCATGTGTCTGAATAATGTTACCGGTATTTTCAATCGCGTTGTCCATTTTATTGTACACACTTTTTAATTTACATGGGAGAGGCAGATAACGGGATTTACTAGTTTGTATTTGCTTGAATGATATATAGCGGGACAATTGATTTTTTTTTTATACTAAGGCATTTAGTGTGAAAGCATTTCTGTGTGGATCTAGCACGTGTGCTGTGTCGGAGGTATTAATAAAAAAGAAACTCGTGTTCTGCTATAGCCCCTTTTAGGACTGGTAAACTCGTGGGCCTTGTGACATCCTGCGATTTTCCTGTCGTCACTGACCTGAATAAAGGAAACCAATTCCGGGAAGTTACCGGTGGCTTCCTTCGACGTTTCGGAGCAGAACCGGCCGTGAGACAGTGACATCTGCTGACAGATATTGAACATGACAGGTAGTGTTTTGGAAAATGTTCGTCATTATTCATTGGAGAGTGTTGTCATCTGGGGGATTTGATTTTGTGCCTTTTCCAAGCAAGAGAACCAATGGATGTAAAATCTGCGAGTTAGAGATTTCATTTCATATTAGATGGATTTTTTAGACATTTCTCAGATCTTAGACGCTTACAAAAATCGAAAAAACAAGTGTATGAATAATATAGCCCAAAAAGATGTTGCTGAGCAGGGACCAGAATTGTAAATATGTACTATAAACGATACTGCTGCTAATTTTAGACTTTTATCTGAAGCGCTTAAACATATGGTTAAGTTGTTTGCTATAGTGAACTGGCAGCAGTATACGATGTTAAAATGTTATGAGTTTTATCCTTACAAAAGCATTCGACATCAAAGTGGATATTTTACCTGTCGTGTACATTTTGGTCTGGCTTATATTATATATATATTGTCGATATAATTAAATATTAATGCAAAATAGTATAAATTGTGTTCGAAAATAAACACTCTAAATCCAGTGATCATAATATAGCAAAGAGATTAGAAAATGGTAAAAGTATTCCCGGAGAGGGTTTGGGTTGGGTAGTCAGTCGCCGAATTGCCGTGTCATTACGCCCCAAGCCCACTGGGTTCCAGGGTCTTAGCAACACACCACTGACTGCTTTTAAGCAATGACTTAAAAGTCTTAAGTGTAGAGGCTATTAATTTAAAAGGATATTACACAATTGGTAATACTTTTTAATAGTATATACAATATATATCTCATCTTATATTTTATACACTATATTTATATACACTTTACATATTCATGTTTTGCATGTTCAGTCTTTTAGAGCTCTTAGAAATGTGTGTTCTGACTTCTCAAAGATCAGATGCCAATGCACAACACTTACAGATTCAGAATATATAATATGGCTAACATTATATATTTTCATACATATATAAGTAAAACACACCATTCATAGGAGTGCACTGAATTCTGAAAATTAAAACTGCTAAATGAATAAAATATTAAAGCTGTGTTCCTGTGGTATTGATTTTCAGGGCCTTCATGAAAACATAATATTACAAATCTGAAAGCCTGATGTAATTGTAAGGAAGTTTCTTTTTTATCCCTTTCTAAAATGACAATGTTGCCAGTCATCTCCAAACTCAGCACATTGTTACGGTACAGAAAGGTAAAGGTAGTCAGTGATTTCTTTTTAAATATATTTACAAATTTACAAATTTATTTACAATAACAAATAACACTTCCGTCACTATTCGGTAGATTATGTTTTTCCTTGGATTTTCCTTTCAATTTGTGTGAAGTAAAACAAGTGGCAAAGTTCAATATCCATCGATAAACAGTGAATCCAAATATAAATCCTGAACGTTAATAAAGTGACCTTAACAGAATGCCGAATTCCTCTCTCTCCTCTCACGCGGTCATGAAGTGAATCACTTCTAGAAAATTCTAGACACCTCACGTGACGTGTTCACATCGAATGATTTACATAATCATTCCAGCGAATTCTGGTCAGGAAAACTTAAGACAATACTAACACTGATTATTGAAATAAAGTTGTTATTTACAAATGCCGGATATTCAAATAAATCTAAAAATAGTTTAAAAAAATAATTATTCATAACAACATGTACTGGCAGGGATGTAACAATTGACATGTGAAAAGAATTGAGCTGATGCATCAGTGACATAATGGTCTGGCCTGAGTCTTAAAAATGTATCAATTTTTTCTTGTGAGTAGCTGCGCAAATGAAAGAGATTTTGTAAACACCTAAACCTGCTTCAGGGTTTCTTTTGAAACGTTGTTGTAGTGTTTTAAAAATATTTGTCTTGTCAATGTCAGGTTTTTGAATTATTGATGATACTGTATGCAGCTCATAATGCAAAACTGCTCCCATTCAAAACTGGAATGCTAATAGTACAACTGACATATAGTTAAATAAAGCTCCTTTTGAAAACCAAGTCAATCTGCTGTTGGTGAAAGCTTGTTAGTTAAGTTCAAATGTGTTAGTTATCATCCTAGGGATCATGCAGTTAAAATAAGGGTACAGTGGTGCTCCTGTGTGAGTCATTGACACTGCTGTATTCTGAACATTCTGTATGACATGCTGTATTCTGTATTGTATACACAATATTCAATTAGTTCAGGTGTTCAAGAATGCATTTATTTTAATGGTGTCTTTGTGCAATAATAGTAGTTCACATGCTTTCAGAATAAATAAACATGTCTCTCTTAGGACACAGTTCATTAGGGAGTAAATTGTAAGCAAAGATTCAACGACAGTATATATACAGTATATACAATAAGACCCTGGAATACAAAAAATTCAGGAAGTTGCATAAAGGCTCAGATCATGAGAGTATTGTAAAAAGACATTGAATATCTCGTTGAGAGTAGTGAAGGTAATTCATGAAGAGGTGGAAAGTGTACTGCACCATCCCAAAATTGGAACTTTCTTGTCTAATGCAGACGTTACCTTGGTGCAAACACACCACCCTCACATCACATCCCCATTGTCAAGCAGGGTGGTGGAGGTATTGTGTTATGTGGCTGCTTCTTATCAGCATGAATTGAGAAGCTGGTCAAGTGAAGAAAATGGAAGGAGCAAAGTACAGACAAAACCTGCTTAACACAAAGCAGAAGGCCAAAGATACACAGGAGTGACGTAAGAAGAAGAAAGCGAATGTCATCGAGTGACCCTTGATTACTTTAAGCACATTCTCTGTGGGCTTCAGAATTCCTTCTGCTGCTGTCATCATTGTTTACACCATCAGTAAAGAGGAGTGAGCCAGTTGGAGGGGTGGCTGTACTTGTGCAGGCTGCGACATTACCTCCACCATGGTTCACCAATGAAGTGCTGTTCTTTGAAGCATCTGCAGTGCTTTTGTTTTTCCAGAATTAACCTTTCGTTTACCTTTGTATCAGATGGATCTTATCTGTCTATAAAACCTTGTTCCAGAACTCTCCTGGCTTGTTTTTGTGGGATGGATGTTTGCCCATTATCCCTTCCGGGATGTAGGGGCAGCACCATCCTGTTGTTGTTTCTGTAACATTAGTTTTTTTGCAGGACGGGGTTGTTAGCCTTGTGCCCAACCTCCAACACGGAGGACATGGGACACCAACCAACTACCCTGAGATTATGAGTTTCATGAGCTAGCTGGGGCACACTTGTTTTTTTACTACCTAGAAAATTCTCATCTGGCTTTTTGGTGAGAGGTTTACAGTACATCTTGCACTACTGGATTTGAAGCTTAAGACCTGAAAAGTGAAATACCCACAGTCGCAGGGGGCACTGTAGAAAAACTGTTGGTTGCAGCTATTTGCATAAATCCTCAAATTGCAAATTGCCTTACCATTAAACTGATAGATGATTTACTTTTTAAGCACCATAAATGTGCACACTGTATTTTACACGATGCATGTTATAACATGGATAAAAGTTCAGAACCTTACTGAGGAAAATACTTTATACATTTATGTTATAAAGAAACCATACATCCTTTCTTAAATTGTGCCTTTATAAAATCTAGTATTGTTTTTTCTTTTCCAAAGAATGTTGGTGAAAAGAAAAGGGAGATATTTAGCCAGGAGATTATTCTGGCCTTGGAGCTAAAATGCTCAGACAATATAACTTACTGAATGACTGCATGTATGATAGCTGATGTAAAATTAATTTGTAGAAGTGTTGTTAATGTGATTACTGACATTCGCAGCTTATGGTGGGGAAGACAAACAGTTGTCATAAGTAGCGTCAAGTTGGAATTTATACACTAGTGGCTTTTCACATGTGTAACATGCAGTGTGGAGATTTATGGGGTTTAAAAAACTAAATTATATATCAGATAAATGGGCATACAATGAGAGCAAACTTGCTATTATCGAACAAAAGGAGTGAATTTCAAGTATCTTTGACCCAGAAGAGTGCACATCCCTTCTAGACAAAGGGATTAAAGTTTTATTTCCATAAGGGATGGGTGGGTGTGTTGAATCCATATATTAGCAATGTTGATGCACTTGAACCATTAAAGAAAAAGACTGTTGATAATAAACTATCAGTAATTATCAGTAAGATATTAGCTTGATAAGTATCCACATCATGTAGTTCCATAGTTTTATCTTTCTATTTTGAGAAAATAATAATCTTTAAAATAGGAATAAGATGATACCAAGAAAGTAACTCAATAGCATTAGTGTTATGAATACTAATATATACTGTAACTGTATATAACAAAACATATTTTTTGAGTTAAAGAATTTATAGGGTGTTGATGAATAGTTAATTAGCATTAGTGGAATAAGGGTAGCATTCACTACCCCTGGATTAAATTGCTACATTCCCTCTACTTAAATTGTGTGAGTACAAAGGCTCTGGAGTTAGGTTCTGGTAAAGAAAGTGTAGAACTACCGTATTCTGTGCACGTCCTTTATAATGGTCTTGAAAGTTTTGTATCTTAGCAACACCCAGGGAAACCTCCAGCTTCTTGGCAGTTAGAGCCTGAGAATGTGGATATTGGGAAAACGCAGAACTGCCTTGCCTATCAGACTGAGGAAATATGAGTTCAGTTTATAGGAGGCTCACAATGGATTTTGCTGTTGATACAACAGATCATTGATTGATTAAGGCTGAGCCTAACACGAAAGACATATTAGTAACTATTATCTATTAGCAGCTAATCCTGGTCTATAATATATAGACTTATTTAAGGTAATCACAATTATTGTGTTCATTTTAATTAACATATTTTCTTTATCTTTTGATGCAGTACCTGCCTTCACAACCTTTTGTTTAGTTGTATCTAGCTTATATTTGTTTAAATGTGGTCATTTATGCTACTGTACAAACATTAGTTTTGATTTCTGAGGCAGTTGGCTACAAATTAAACGAAAGAGCCAGAATGTGGAGAACATTTAAGTTAGGTCTACTCTTCTCATTTGATCTAATTAAATACATTTATCTATGGTTGTTCAAGGAAAAGCTGTGGGTTTTGATC